ATCTTTAGCATCCACTGCCTACAACTTGCCTAACATCTGCAAGATAATCAGAAACAGAAGAGTGTAGACAGAATTGGGGGGATATTTTATGATCTATACCCTTCCTTGTGATCAGAAGCCATGAAGCATGAGCAGAAGGAAATAAGCAGATCACAAACAGTGCAGGAACAAGGTCATGAGGAAGGAACCAGAAGATGAGAGATTTGGGTTAAGAGTGAACTGTGCACAAAAATACTATTTTCCATTGCTGGTCTCTTCCTTTGCCTGGAATTTGTATACATTTTATTTAGAAGAAAGAGATCTATTGATACATGACTGCTAAAAATTCAGAACAGTTCTTAATAATGAGGAATACATGCTTTTTCCCTGTCAATGCAAGCTACTATCCCCTTTCTTACATATGGGAAAAGAGAAACAAATGGCTATACTGATAGAATTATTGCAGTGTGAAAAGGTGGATATTCATCCTACAATGACCAGGACAATTTGATTCCTTCACCTTTCCCATTCTTATAAATGTGACTAATTGTGGTGAAGCAGGTTCAGGACCCACTGAATGAAATAAAGATAACAGCCCACAAGAATAAGATGTCCTCTCCCTCTGTGTAAACAACAATCAAGTGCTGTTTTTAACTACAAGATGGCTTTATTGCTCCCATTTGTTTTATGGATTCTTCACCATCCATTACTTAATTAAACTCAAAATACAAACCGGCTTTATCATTACTGAACCTGTGAGCAATCATTAAGTGTCACTGAGCCAGCTCTTCATGTGGTTTTACAAACCTTTACTTTTGAGGATAGGGTAAGAAGAGCTTATTGGATCTGGCTTGGCTATTCTGAAATCAATAGGTGGTATCAGATCCTGAACACACTAGTGCAGTGCAAGATAAAATATAGGGTCAGGAGGCCTATTTAGCTGATGCATTTCATCAGTATTCTAAACATACACCAGGCCAAAACCAGAGTCAAACACAGCTGAATTAGCTTTCTAGTGCCCCATGGAAATACCCTCCTTCCCTGCAATAGTTTTTCCACAGCAAGCTTTCTAAATTATATCATGTTTCTCCTTCCTGGCACTCTTTAACCCTTTCTTCTGTGAATATCCAGTAATACAAGTTCTTTGGTAAGTTCTTATATACTTTTAGTTCTTATATACTTTTCCCTTTTTTTTTTCCCTTCCTCAGTGTTTTATGTGGCTTTTCTTTTTTATTTTATTCCATCCTGAAAAACATTTCAGCTCATTCAGTGGAGTTGCTATAATTTTTGCTCAGTGCTTTTAGGTTCATATTCCTCTCCCAACTTTTTCCATCAAGGAAGCCAGGATCTGAGATCCCTCCCATGTTTAATTTAATCAGCATTTCAGATTAGCACAGTACTACCCATGTATGTGAAGGAACAAAAGAAACTTAGCATGAACTTTGTGATCGCTGCTTGCTTAACAGGACTGGTTTACAACTTTTCTGTAGGAACAGCAGAATCAGATTAGTGAAAACTTTTTATTGTTCTAAAGTTTTCTTGAGACACTGAGAAAAAAAGACCAAAACAAAGGATGGCTTGAGGGTGAAAAAGGTGTCAGGAACAGAGGTTGTCTGCTGCAAGAGTTCCAAGGTAGCAGGCAACCTGATCTTCTCTAGACATTTCTGAGACAGTTCTGAGATGTTGCTGAGTCAGTGCTCTTACAGTGTCCTTCAAGAATTAATTAAAAGCAGTGAAGAACATGCTTTGCTTCCTCAGTAGGATTTTTTTTTTCCTGAAACTGTTTGGGCAGCTTTGGCTGGAGGAAATGGGAGACAGCTGCCATTATCACATAAAGGCAAGACCACTTCCTCCCAGACAAAAGTCACAGGTATAGGGGTCGAAACAGCAGCTGGAAGTCTTTAAAACACATGAGCTTTAGTTAGACATACTCAGAATAATTGGAGATGGTTTGTACCAGAGCACCTGGAAGCAACCTTCAGATGTTTACCAATAAGGGTAAAGCACCTCTGCCTAGCCTTTCTTGTTACTGGAATTTTACACAGCTTGATTTAATCTGGGTTGAGAGAACAAGCCTCAAATACAAAGTTCTCAGGAACTTTGTTCAGCTGCTTTTCCAAATAAGCTCTGTGCTTGTAATATTGTTGTAAATGCACATTAATTACACAGGAACCTTAGACATATTTGGCAAAGCTTGTTGCCAAAGCAGTTGTTGCTGTTTTACATGGTCTATTTAAGCAGTTAGCTTTCTGGTATGGTTATATTACAAAATAAGAACACTCAGTGTGAGGAGAAAAGCAACAACCCAGCAAGCCTCTTTCTTCCTAATATGGTGAAATAAAAAGCCCTTGGTCTGAGCCAGCTGAAGTGCTGATGGAGTCAAAGCCCAAGGATCAGTGTGGTGTGGTGCCTGAAGAGCACAAAGGTCGTGGTCAAGATTCACACTGGGAGGGCAGGAAATGTTTCAATTCCCTGACCGTGACTAAATGATGGGAGGCAATGATGCTATCACGGATGCCCTCTTCTCATCCCAGCTCATGTTCGATTCCAGAATGGTGAGAGCGTTCTTTCCTGCACTTGCTGGCTCGGGAGCTCTGGGCTGTGCTATACAGCTCAAGTAGGGACTTACTTTCACAAGATTTATATTAAGCAGGGACACGAATTTCTCAGTGAGCAGCTGTGTTGGGGTCTCAGGCCTCAAGCTGAAGAGGAGGCTGGTGAGGGACAAGCTGTGACAAGAGGACACACACCAGCCCTTGGTGTCTCCTCTGCTTGCACAGTGTCCAGTGAATGGGAGCCCCAAACACTGTTGGAATACCAGGCAGTTTTGCCTTTTTCCTTATTTGTGTTCATGATCACCTTTTAAACAAAAGAGCTCAGGTTTTCACAGCAACAAGCAATGGGTTGGTGGGTGCTGTTTGCTCCATGCCACCCAGCTCCCAGCAGAAGAGATGGGGTTTTCTGGCTGCTTCTCAGGAGTTCCATTTCTGCTGGTTAAAACCTCTGCTCAGGGATGCTTGGTACAGTATTAACTCATCATATTTAAGTCCAGCGATCCTTGGATTTTTGTTATTTGCTAATGTGAGGATGATACATAGGTGAATCCACAAAAGAAAGGGAAATCCATACAAAAACCTCAGAGGCTGACATGTCCAGATGCATAATTCCAGTGATTATAAATTTTCAGGTACCCCAGCCATGTGAGGCTTTGGGGACAAAAGCCAACTGAAACTCCCATCTCCCCAGAGGGAGAGCTGCAACGAAAGCATTTTTAACCACACTTGTGTCACAAATTCCTCTCGCATTTGGTGACTGTGGCTTGTTCTAATTAAAACAATAACAGTTTAAGCACTGTGTTTTAAAGCAAACAAACTGTTTATGAGGATAGAATCAGAGAGAAATACTGAAGACAGTGCTTCTCTTCCCAGAGGACGCGTCTCCACCACCACATAGCATGTTCTCTCCTGCTGTAATGTTATCACCCATCAGAAAGTTTTGCTTCCCAGCTTTGTTTCCAAGAGCACAGGGGCTAATTTGGCAGATGAATAATCCATATTATACCTATGAGTGTTCAAAAATAGGCAAAAGCCTGAGCTTTGCCTTTTATAAAGCCTGATCATGTCCAAAGCTGGATTTGTCTGTTGTTCCCACCACAGGTCCCCAGCCTGGGGCTCAGATCTAACCCAGAAGGACCTGCCCAGATAAAGTGAGGAGGCTCTGCCAGCCCCAAGGAAGCATCCAGCCTTTCACTGGCAAGGAAGGGTAAAGCAGAGGCAGCAGCACAATGAAGGAGAAGCATGCTCAGTCAGCTTTATGAAATAATACATTGTTTATACATCCATTAGGAAAACTTTGATAAGGAGGGAAACACTGTAAAGGAAATAACTTTTTTTCTAGTGGAGTAAAAGTGATGTCTGTGGTTTTAAACAAAAGTATTTTGGCAGGATCATGCCATACAGAAGAGGAAGAGCAAGGGAAACTGCATTTGAATTAATTCAGATAAGTGAAGGTCAGAAGACCTTATGTCAGAATTTTCCATTAATTCCTATGGTCTAACTCTCTGCAAAAATTGTTTTACCTCCTAACTCCTTTGTACAAATATTGTTGTGGTTATTACTACTGATTACTGTATCTACTGTAATTACACATACAAAAGCTGTTTACAGTATTGCAGCCATAATAATGCAAAAGAACAAAGTCAGGCAATTTTCATGGTAGATGTTATATGAGATTTTGAATGAATTTGTATAACTGTTTTCAGCTGCAAGTACATAACAGTGGGGAAAAAGACAAGAACAAAAGAGTAAGGAGCAAACTTTGTTTTAATTCAATCCCTGTATTGAATCTTAACTTGAAACTTGATTTTTGTTGAATCATAACATTTTTGAACCTGTGATCAAAACCTCTGTTTGACCTAGAATATGCTACTTTAATTTAAAGTCAAATGTTGTTTAAAATTAGTTTAACTTAATAAAAAAATCCAAAACTTTCTAAAAGGGTTTTCAATTAAAAAGTGATTATTTTTCCAAATTAAAATATTTCAAGGTTTTTTTTGGTTTTTTTTTTTTTTTTCTTTTTTGGAGTGAAGATGAGTTTGTAAAATATTTCAGTGTTCCCAATTCTCATTTCTTCCCCCAGAGAAGTTTTCACTGAGGCATTTCATCCAGTAAGCAGAACAGGAAGGGATAGAAAGAGAAACTGAGGCAAAAAGAAGTGAAAATAGTTTTCCAGGATACCAGTATGAGAAAAAGAAATTGCATTTCCTGAGTTCCCTCTAGATTGTGAAATACTGAAGGACATTAAAGAGATAAATTACCAGATGCAAAATACATGTCCAGCCATTATTGTTGTGAACGACAGAGATCATGACAATTACCAGAGCTATGTACTTGGCCTCTAAAATCTTGTTCCCTATTTCCTGGTACAGTCACAGGTCAAGCACTAGTTGCCTGCTTCCATTTGCATGGGACAAGTCAGCATGATAGAAAGATGATTTTATTTGTATGGCTTTGTCTTTTCAGAAAGTCTCTCTCTCGCTGTCGAAGAATTAACAGGATGCTTTCCAACGAGTCAGTACCTCCTGCCTTCAGTCGCTCCAATTCTCAGGCCTCCATGGACAGCACTTCCATGGAGGACTTCTGGTGTGAAGTAGAGAGCATCAAAGAGAGCAGAGAAGATGGATCTGAAGAAGCAATGCTCTTGGAGTTCAAACCTGCTGATGGTGAGCACATGAACACTACTTACTCCTCATACCCTGGCTTTGCTTCCTCTCCTGAGGAGCCTTCCTTGTGTCACTCAGTCTGAGCAGAAGTACTGGTCTGGATGTATGATCATTTTAGCTCCTCTTCTGAGCATCACAGTTAATCACTGGCAAGAAACAATAATTGTCTGGTTTATACACTGGAGCCAGTAATTAACTTCTGAAGTAAGTTTTGTTGCATTGATTTTAGTTGTGCTTCAGGAGGACAGATACAGTGTAATTCAGAAAATAAAGGCACTCAAGGAAAATTAAATTTTCAGCATTAAATAGATTAAACCAAAACATTTAAAGTAGAAAAATGTTAATTTAGTATGCTATAATTTTAAACTTTCTGGCTTTTGATAGGACATGATTCAGAAATTATTAAAGTCTTGAAGCAGTTTTTGGTTAGATGTCGTATTCCTCTATCAGGAATTTAATACTGCCTGTTTTGCTGAGATTGCCCAATTAACATATCGTCAAGGAGAGGTTAGAGATAAGTCTGAATGTAGGCATGCCTGTATAGTTCAGGCTGCCCACTAGACCACATTCATTCATCACTTATACAATGTATCCTGAAGGTATTTCTGCCTGTTACGTTAATGGTTTCCCTTCTCCTTAGGTACTGTATTTGGAAAAACATGCACTATGTGCTAGCTTGTTGCAATGGAGCTTTGTGTTAGATGATTTGATAACATCTAGAACAGTGGTTCTCATTTTTTTTTTTAATTAGGACCCTCATCACAAATGCATTATATTGTGTAACACAAAATACCAGGTGTTACTATACAATGAAACCAAATTTCTTCTGAGGTTGTGACCTCCTGATAACTGCTGCTACCCTTCTATGGCTCCTGGCCACTGGTCTGGTAACTACTGATGTAGGGATAGATTTTGAAATGATGGCATGTTCTTTCCATACAATTATTAACACAAGTTATGATGTATTTTTCCTACCTTGACGTACAATGGGATGCCATTAATTCTGCTACCAGGAAGAATGGTGCAAAGTACTTTTTATTAAGCAATCAAATATGCAACCAGTCATGGTAAGTAACCCACACAGAGGTATCTAGCTCAGACTGTGTACTGTTTCCATGGGAAACACCTCCCATTCACTGGTTTCCATCTGGGCTCCCCTGGGAGCAAAGGGAGAAGACCACCAGAAATCTTGGTCTGCTGTGAGGGTTATGATCAGTCAGCCTAAATCTACTGTTCTGAATTTTGCTGTTCCTTACTGGGAAAACTCCTGTCTGGTCATACTCTTTAGCTTGGAGACTCCATAAAGAGATTGTGAGCCTCATGGTGCCTCCTCCATGCAATTGTCACCACAAACTAACACGTGTCCCTGACTTGTCTGCACTGTCAGGGAAATGACATAAATCTGTGGGCTGCCAAGCTGGATAACTTAGTAGGACAAGGCAATACAGGAGCTTATTTTCCAGAAACGTTTCCATCAGTTTCATCACTGCTGAACTAAATCTCCTCAACAGCCCAAACTCTGCTGCAGTCCCATGTTACCCTTTGTCTGAGTACACCTCATTACATCACATTGATTTTTCCCCTCTGCTGTGAATTAAAAATGAGACTGCAAGTCAAAATGCAATACATCTCCACACTACATTTACCTTCATATTGTTGTCTTAAACACATATATATGTATTGCATATACCCACACACAATCAGGCAGTGTTTGTCCTAGTTATTAACATCAGGAATATATTCAGTCTGGGATTATAAATCTTGGAAATAATAGTGAGTTCTATTAAGGTTCTAATAGGATAATACTCCTTGCCAATAATCAAAACACTAAAAATCAATGTGGAAACCCTCAGGGCAAAATAAAAGCAAATATTCATCACCCTTTTGAGATGTCTTTGAGAGGAGGAGATGAAGATCCCTTAGAAGGAGGCCAAAGGGTGATAGAAGCCAGGCAGGCATGACTGTCAAAACCTCAGTGTGATTTGCCAGACATCATCTGCAAAGGGCAGACAACAGCATACTTATTCTGTTGATTTTAGGAAATTCAGTCAAAAAAGAACAGAAGATCATGACAAGTGACACAAGGAATGAAAATGTAGAGAAGGAGAAAGTCATGGTGTATTTAAGATGTCCATGCCATGTAGAATTGCTTTACAATTTTTGTTGCAAGGCTTGAATGCTGTGAGTTACTTAAGGTTATTTCTCTGGGCTATTTCAGGTTATATCTGAGATTCAAAACAGGACATGCCTCTTTCCTAGCAAACTCTATGAGAAAAAGAGAATTACCTTTTCAATTTTCTGACTTCTAGTGGAGCAGAATCAAACACAGTATCAAGACTATGCTGTATTAGTAGCTAACAATATAAAAATAATTCTTTCTTAAACAACATGGGGGTGGGGGATTTATGACACCAATGTGTCATAAAATTTTGAGCATTTTTAATGCATAAATTTCTTCTCTTTAATACTTTTACTCCTCTGATTACTGTTGTTATGTGTTAGTCTATTGTTTGTGTGTGGTTGGAACAGGAAAAGGGAAAAGTCAGAGAAAACAAGTCACAGGGTGACTAGTAAGTAGGCAGAATTTAATGTCTGCCCTGCTATTTTTCATAGCAAGTTTGATTACAAGCTCAGTTCTTGGAAAGAATATGTCAGGACAAAAGCAAAAATTAATGTAATTTAAAAGCTGAAACATGGACAGATGTGGCTCCAACAGCGGCATATAAGAAAGAGAAGAGACCTTCTTAGAAAGAAGAGTGAAAGTGGCAGAAGAACCACTGATTCAAAGCTCACAGAGAAGGAAAAGGAACAGTCTCCATCCTGTCTGTGGATACAGAAAGAATAAGAGCAGAGACAAGCTTTTTTATGGGATACAGAGCTGGTCATACCCCTGGCTAACACAGAGCAGGGGGTTTAGAAGCAGCTATTTTTGTAGTGCTTTGTAAAGAGGCAGGGCAGTTAACAATGAAGTCAGTGATGGCACATGTATAAGATGGTTTTACTTGTCCCTACATCCAAGTCCTGTAATTTTCTCTTTTGTGTATGTAACTGCCAAAGTGCAGCAAACTGGTGTCCATCAATCAGCCTGCATTCTTATGTCAAAAAGAGGCAATAAAGGGAGAGTGGAAATACCAACCTGCCATTAAGACTGGTGCTGGGACAAGAACAAAAAGTGCATTGACGAGTTGTTTTATAGAACATGCTGCAAATTAATCCATTTCCTGTTTGACATGTTTATTTGCAGTACCTCTTCTTCAGTCAGGGCTGGAATGAAATTACTGTTTTGTGTCAAGCAGCTTACTGCTGAGCTAGGACTGCTCACAAAACTGAAATGAAGGTCCTCAAAATCTCCTATGTGAAGAGAGACTTTAAAAGACTATGATATTTATTGTAAAAAGAACACAAATCAAAAAGCAGTGACAGCAAAACTTAAAATTACTGAATGATTCAGAGAAGGCAGATTGGGACCTTTTCACAGACAGATAATGACAAGGCACATTCATTTCAGGTAACAGGTATCAAGCTGAAAACCTACATTGTCTTCACATGGCCAGGTTTTGATAGTGAGGGGCCTGCAGGTGTGGCTCAGTGAAAAGATGCCAGAAGCATCTGCCATGTCCAGTAGAGCCAGGATAGAAAACAATTCTTCCCACAATGCATACCCTCACTATGGGACAAATTGCAGTATTGAACCAGTTGGGAAGCAGGTATTCAACAGATTAAAGAGGGTATTAGTCACTAATTGAGATCCCAAAAACACTGGGGTGTACAGTGCTAGCGAGTCTTTATGAATTAGAAGTTAGGGTGATACCTAGCATGCCAGGATGGCTATTTCTGCATCTGCCTCCCTTACCTGACCTCTTAGACACCTACCCCTTCCTGACCCTTGTTCTTTAGAGAGCAGCTCTGGTTCTTAACCATCTCATTCAAAGCAAGCAATTCGACTAGGTGGACATCAACCTTCTCTCAGTGTGGCTTCTTCACTAGCTACCACCAACCCTCTGGAATATGAAATTGCATCAATAGTGTGCAAATACATTATTCTGTTCTATACACACCTCCAGTATTTCTGTTTATTTGAATTGGAATACTGATTTTATTTCCATTAGCCAAATGGCTTTCTTCAGAACACCATGCTACAAATTGTGAATGTGGCATAAATGGGAATTGAGTGGATTTATGCTTTGGAATTAGGGGTTAATTTTTAGGGACCTTGCTTTGTCAGGTTGGTTATTCTGCTGCCTTCTTCACACATATATGTTGATGAAATGCCTCTTCTGTTTTCCACACTGACAAACTGAAAGTTTGTCAAAGACAGTATGTTTACAAAACTAACTTAATTTGCATTTGTGGCCTAAGAAAGGTTGGAATTAAAATATTCTCAAGGTAAAGGCTGTGGTTGCAGTCCTCTTTTCCTTCAGCCTTCTCTCCCTTCCTTGCCAGGCTTATTAACATGCTGTCTTCCTCCACAGAAGGGGAACTGGAGGCAGAATGGCTGCAAGATGTAGGTTTATCCACATTGATCTCAGGAGCTGAAGAGGAGGATGGCCAAGCCCTGCTGTCCACTCTGACCAGAACTCAAGCTGCTGCTGTACAGAAGAGGTACAACACCTACACTCAGACCCTGAGGAAGAAGAACAAGCACACAGTCCGGGATGTGCGAGATATCTTTGGCACCAGCGACTCTTCTGTAAGTGTCCCCATGCATGCCTTTGATCTTAATTTTTATGCAATTTGCAAGTAGCTCACAAAGTTTCCTCCAGATAGGAACCCTTCCTTGCTGACAATGCACAGACAGTAATTAGCAGTTTCTGACTTTAAGACCAGACTTTAATGCTGTATACAGTACATTTGAGAGGAAAGGAAGAAACCAAATCCAATGGTACACAGTTTTGTAACTAACGTGTAACATAAAGTTGTATCTGTTGCCAGCCTTCCTCCTGAAACCTCATGTCAAGACTAACATTTACTCCTTTATTTTTTGGAAATTGGTGAGTTACTCTTGGCAGCTATTCAAATTTTGGATGGCTTCTGGGGACACTTGCTATTTACTCAGCATTCTCAGTGGCGAAGTAAAACTTGTCTAATGAAGCAACTGGGGTTCACACACGCATAAGCAATTAAACACCTGCCAGCACGATTGTAACTTGTACACTGGCAGTTACATTTCACTTACATAGCAAACAAAAACCTATTAACTGTTCATTTGCTTCACGGCTTCAGAAATCAGCAGTGCCTCTGGAGGTTTCATCCACTTTGCCCTGAGGATAGCTCTGAACACACCAGTTCCTGTCAGTACATGTTTTGATTCTGGTGAACGCAGTCAACTGTGTGAGTTTAGTTGCTCAAAGCAACATGGGATTTTATGTTTATTACTCATGATATCTTAAATTGGAGTCACCAATAAGATCACAAGCTCACCTTTGAAATAAATATTAAAATTGTTGCCATTATTAAACTCCAAGAAACTATTTTTCATTATGGCATTGCTTTGTCCTTTCCTGTTTGTTCTACCATCTCCTCAAGGTTTGATATCCTGGATTATTCACTAAAAAAATTTGGAACAAAATTATAGCTGCATAGTTATATTAAAATTACAGAGTTATAATGTCCAGATATTTAACTTATTTGTTTCCAAATTAAATGTCTGGATTCTTTTAAACCTTTTGCACATATCCCACAAATACATTCAGAAGCATCCAATAGTTTCCTGTGGGCAGACTTTCTTTCATGAGAGATACCAAGCACATTTGCATGAACATCAAAAATCTGGTGGTACTTCTAGCTAGATTAGCTCACTTCTCCTGATTCAAGCATCTGTAAACCATAAGGTGTTTAATTTTTTTTTACAGAAGCTTGAGTTTCCTAATAAATTTCAATTAGCCAAATAAGCATTGTACATTTCCTCGTGGATGGGCACATTATTGGTTTATTTTTGACCTGCTTATTTTCCCCTTCTTACTTGAAAATATTTCTCATTTGCAAAAGGAATTTGGATGTTCAGAGCAACTGCCCTTCAAATCAGTGTTTTACCTCCTCCAAAATACTAGCTCTGCATTGTGAAAGCCTAAAAGATAAAATCAAATAAGTAATTAAGTCTTCTAATTCTTTTTCCCACAAAAATATGCAGTTCTGCAGGTGCTGACCTAGATGTTAAACCCAGATGCCCAAACACAACTGCAGAGCACGGCATCACCTCTCCAACAGCCTGTGAAACATTGTATTTCTAAAAGCCTGCAAGGCCCCAACTCTCTAATTTTCCTATTCACCAGTGCTCCTATTTCTGCTGCTTGTTATGGGATTTAGAAACTTTGTCCTGATTATCAGCCCTTTAGGGATAAACACACTTCAGGAGGGCGTGTGTCCCTGACCTAAGGGTTTCCCAAGTAGTCTTTTTAATGGGGTATCAGCAGTCCCTGGAGCTTTGCTGCCTCTTTGGGCTCGGCCCTACAGCTGCCAAAGAATCTTTGTGATTAATCAGTTTAGGGAAGAGAAGCACATTAAAAATAACTAGCCAAAAGAAGAGTGGCAGGAGTTGGGGACGGGCAGATCTTTTCAGCACAGCTGGGGAAGAGAGGCTGGTGAGGAGACTGCTTGAAATGACATGCAGTTTTGTTTCCCCATCCTGCCTTTTAGCTGGGAAGGGCAGAAGTAAACTGAACATGCTGCAAATAGCAAACCAGCTCTAATTATTTCACTTAACTCTATAATCCTCCCCATTAGGAGAATGGATTTACACCTCTTCCAGCAACCAAGAATCACAAGAGCCCAGAGGGATGGGTCACAGGATGGATTATTCTCTTCCTTGGCTAATGATGAGAGAAAAGGTGATTAGCTTACTAGGGTCACCTGAGATGAGATCAAGGGGACCACTAAACAGGCATAAATTAGCTGTCATCTGGAGTGGGGGAAGAAAAAGGTAGATTTGTCCTAGTTTTTTTCTCCCTGTTCAGAAAAAACCCTGGCTACTAGATGTTTTGCTGCTAATGCCTAGTGGCCAGGCTCTGCATGGGTCAGCATAGAACAAAGGGTGCTTTTCCATCCATCCTGCCTTGAGGTCTATGCCTTCATGGTAGGAGTGTCCCCTCAACAGACAAAATGGACTGAAATAAAAGGAAATTCTTGTTTGATAGCTTTGGGGTTTTTTGGGTTTTCTTCTTGTTGCCTGTCCTGGAAAGGAGCAGTGATCCTTAGGGACAAAATGCTACCCCTGTGGTACAAAAAATGCTACCCTTGTGGTTATAAAAGGCTACCTTGGCAAGTAGAGCAGCCTGTCCCAGTTGAGGTGCTTTTGCTCTGCTTCAGACAGGTCCACAGCCAGCAGACTTGACTGACAGTCATACTACTGAGTTGTAAATTGGAGGATTTATTAAGCAGAGTGGCCTGATTTTTCTTACTGCTGGTACCCTGCTGCTTCCATCAGAAGCTGTCGGCTCTGCTGGTGCTCAGAGCTTAGAAGTATCAATGTCAGAATACAAATGGGGGACAAACATACATTCATTGATTCTGTAATTGTGGAGAGGAGATGAAGGACTGTGTTCATTAACGGCCCAACCCTGTACGTTGCAATTACTAAAACTCCTTAAGACTTTTTACAAGCATTTTACTTCAGCAATGTTTGACAAAATCATGTCCTAGTTAAAGAAGAACCACTTACTAACCCAAAGCTATTTGCATGAAAAGGTATTTGTGATGGCAGCACTAGAAAATATGAATATATTCAAAGCATGGGCAAATTGTATCCTGGACAGATATAATGTTATCCTCCTTCGCTTCTATTTCCTTTAACTGCAGGGATAAAATAAAATTTGGTCTCTTTGGTGCTCCAATGATTTGGTTTTACATCTTCTGCAATGAGGGTAGCTACTGAAAAAGTGTCTATCTGCTTCTTCTCCATCCTCTCCTTGCTCTTCTGATTTCATCTTCCCTTTGGAAATTCCTGTGTATGTTGTGGCAGCAAAGAGTGGGCTCATTTTTACTGTGTCTAATGAATCACTTTCAGTCAGAAATCAGGATATGGGAAGCCTCACCTTTTCTGGAGCCCTAGGCAAATGAATAAAGCTGTCACAGTTTATTTAAGGATACAATCTGACTCTTGGTCTTTCACATTCATTGAGAAAAGGTCTTCAAAAGTTCTTTAATTTTCTTTTACCCTACAGAAATAATGTGGATCTTTAAATTCATGCATTAAAAAGGTTTTATTCCCAGTGTTTCTAACATTAAAAAAAAGTAAAGGGGTGGCAGGGAGGGGAGGAAGGAAGACATTTTCACAAAAGAGACACAGATTTGGTTTCATTATAGACTCTCACTATGGAGGCTGGGAAATGGGACTGAGAATATGACATTTTCAGGTACCCCAGTTATTGTGCACAGTTCACATTATTCAGGTCCCCAGGTTAGAGCTGCCTGCTGCCAGTCCTGCTGGGCGCCAGGCAGAGGTGTGCAGTCCACTTCATCTTCCATATCTGTCTGCCTGCTCTTCCCTGCTTATCAGAACCAGGTTACTGCAGGTGCTTCACGACTCATTTCACTCATGTAACAAGGCTGGAAGTGTATTTTTTCTTAATAAACTTGACTGACCGTAAATCTATTCTGAATATTGTTCACAGGGTCAGACATTTTGAACACTGAAAGTGGATGAGCCAGTTGCTAATTTACCATTAATTTCTCCATCTGCATCTCAAGCAGAAGCATAACTACTTTTATGGTTGATTTTCCCAGATTGCTGAGAGAAGTTTAGCCATCCTCTCCGCTTCTGTACTCCCAGCTTAAATTTATAGTGCTTTTTTGAAGATTTTTGTGTAAATGTTGTGGGATTTTATCATAAAAGTATGCAGTTCTCTTTTTTAAAAAACCTATAGTCCTTAGAGTCTTCTGGCAAAGGAAGCCCATGTGACTCAGATCCTGTTTGCTATCAAGTTCACAAGCCATTGAATGGACTTTCTCAGGAGAGATTTTATTCATGTTACATTTGACTTTGTTACCCGAATAGCTCAGAGGATAAGATTGGATAAAACAACTGAAACGTTGTTTCAGGCTTCCAATTGGAAGAGCTGCCTGTCTTTTAAATAGCTGATATTTTTTGACAGCCAAAACACTTCTCCTACACATTGACTACAGCTGGGGAAAACAGAATTTTTTCCCCTGAGGCATTGCTACTTGTTGATAAACAGCTGATTTAGCAATTTGAAGAGCAATTAAAAGAGCTGGTATTAAGGGCTCATGGGAGCAGGTTCAGCTGGAAAACTGGGTCTATTCCATCTGGCTCAGGGTGTGTGTGAGACAACAGGTTTGAGAAAGGCTTAGGATTTCAGGGCCTCCCATAAGGATGCAAATACAGCAGAAAAAATGTTCCAGGTTTGAAACATCGTAGTTACTTTCATGAGTAACCTTCAGAGCAGCTTTATAATTCCTGACCTTGTTTTTGTTTGGATATTTTTTTTACTCAAGAACAAATAGTTGAGCTGGCTGCTATTTCCCATGGAACACAGACACTCAGATTTGTCTTTATGAGCCACAAAACTGCTGAGGACAAGGCCAAAACTCCATTGCCAAGAAGAGGTGACGCTGCTTGAAAGTCACTCCTTGGGTTGTCAAGCACAATAATTGGGGTACCTGAAAATATCATAATCTTAGTGCCATTTCCCAGCCTCCAGAGTGAGAGTCTATAATGAAACTTCTCTGCAATGCAGAATTATTTCTGGAGTGGAAAGAAATGGATTTGAATATAGAAAATGTTTATTTGTTCCCTCAAGTTGTTTGTTGCAATTCACTGATAAAAGTATTAGTGTATAACCTATGAGAGGACATCCATCCTTTAATAGCTTTCAGGTGCCCAAATCATAAGAGGTAGCAGACTGACTGACTTCTGACAGGTCCCTGGGAATAGCAGGTATTCAGCCTGTGCCAGAGAGTCTTCAAAAAGATTTGTGGCCAAAATTATTAAAACCAGGATTAATTACAATTTGAGGAGGACCTTTCAGTTAGCCTAATTCTATACAGCAATTTACTTAGCTAATTTCAGTCATTTTATAAGACAGGATTCATTAGGTACAGCAAGCTGCAGTATTACTGACCTCCACATGGTCCAAATCTGTGCAGTCTGGGGAAGATTGATTCTCAGGCTTGGCTATAAAAAATATACTCTTGACTAATCACAACATGTTGCTTAATCTTGTCAAGAGAGTGTAAGCTGAGAGTGATACACCTTTGCTTGAACTGTAGCAGTTTCTGTCCATAGACGTTTGCCTTCACTGCACTCTGATCATTTTTCCTTGCCTTTCAGCCCACATTTGAGACAGTTCCAGTGTCACCAGTATCTTCTAATGGCATCCAGCTTCCTGGGCAGAAACCAGTTTGGAAATCAGTTAGCTGTGAGTATGGCAACATGTAACCAGTGTTCACTTCCTCTTAGGAAAATGACAGAGGGAAAGAGCCTTTTGTGGTTCAGAGGTTAGTCCCTTCTTTCATGTTGGGGCAGTACTGCGTATATTTCTTTAAAATCATTGTCAGCTTATTGTCATTCAGGAACCAAAGTTTCCCATTAAAGACCAACGTTGTACAGACACAGACTGCTGCCCTTGAGGCATCACCATCTAAAAAATGCTGATCATTGCAAGGCTGGGAATGTAAAAATAATCGGTAAGCAATATCATGCAGAATTTGTCCAAAATATGTCATCAGTGTATTTTCTTGCTGCAAATCAGAGAGGCATATTTCCTCCACATTTCTTCTCCAGTACTGCAGAAGTTGTAGTATTAGAAATTTATAAGTTTTCCTAGTTCTGCCGTGTTATTCTGATCTATGAATGGTGTTATCCCTTATATTCTTTGCCCTGACAGTGATTGGCAGTGCTAATGAAAGTAATAGTTCTCCTCTATCCAGTGTCTGGATAATTGTCAGCAACCTTCCACGAGAATGTTCATCTCTTAGTTTGAAAGCTCTTCCTGTCACCATTGTTCAGGGCTTAACTAAAGGGATATTAATACCCAAATTTCTAAACTAATCCTTTGGATGTTTACCTCTGGATACAGTGCCACAGACATTTTCCTTGGTGGCAAAAGCTGCTCCGCTGATACTTCTGCTCTGCAAGCAGTTTTACTGAAACAGATGGGGAACCAAATGTCATGGGGTACTATGAGCAGTCTGTGGTTCCAGGTTCAAGGATGGAAAGAGAGATGGAAAACATCTTAAATGGCTTGGACATAAGACAACAACTAAAGCCACAGTTCAGAAACCAGAAGCCACTTAATAACAAACTTAACTTTTTTCATATCAGACTTGTAAAATATGTGGTGTTGCAAAAAAGTCCCTGTAAACACAATGATTCAGAAAACATGGGCATGCACAAGTTTATAAGACTTGTAACATTTTTTTAATTCACTTTCTGATTGCCATGGCTTTTGAATACACTTGTGTCATGTTAGTAAATTCTTCTCTGTAGTCCTGTGGGCTGAAACTTTACTTTCAATTAGATTCATGATTCCATCACAAATGGATTTAGGAGCTCAACCTTAGAGGAAAGTTAAAAATTGACCTGAGATACTAGAGATCTAGAAAGTTGGCAACCCTGTAACTCATTTACAGTAGCATATTTCTGGACTTGATTTTATTGATTTCAAAAATTTTCCTCTGACATCCAGTAATTTAAGGAGGTGACTAAATTTTAGAGAAGTGCAATAAGTAATTTCACAATATCTACTATAAATGCCAGTAGATATAGTGCTTTTCAAACTGGAATATTGTATGTTTTGTCCTGTTATGGTGCTATACACCTAAACTATCAACAATGAGAAATGTGTGTATGTGAGTACATAAAATATATGCACAATGTCTTGTGATTGTAAATAAGTCATCAGTAACCTGAGAAACTGTGTCAACAGCATTTTTCTGTCAAGACCTTTTATTTGTAATTGTTCATTTGACAAGTGTCACCACAGTTTGCTGGCCTGGGAAGATAAGGATGGAGTAAGAAAACTTGGTAATTCCTGATAAACAGGAAGTTCCAGCTTGACTATATTTCTCATAGAAAGCAATAAGTTAAATACTCTAAAATGAAAGTAAGGATTTTAATTGTAAGGGGTTGTTTTCTCAAGACAAAACAGGAACATGCTGTGGTTTGCAATGAAATTCCTCTTTGAAGCACTTCCTTTATTCCTTTCTCAAGGATTTTGTCTTCTTGGTTCAATTTTTTAATGTCTCTGTACTAAATGCAATTCATTATTCTTATATAATTTCCCTTATTTTCAGCTAAGAGCTGCCTAGACTGTGGAACAGATAAGGGCAGCCCATCCATAACAGAAGAGCTCTCCTATGATGTCTCTTTCTCAGAATCCATTACAGTCCTTCCGAAAACCCAAGAGTGGCCAAAAAACCAGAGGTTCAAAAAGGAAGACTCAGCTTTGCCAGTAAGTTTCTTCTCCATATATTTCCTTGATTGTTTTCTTTAACACAGCAATTTCCTGTTTTATATCCCCAGTACAATGGAGTCTGTTAAGATACATCTGGTCTTTGTAGTGTGTGTTTTGTAGAGATTTCTCAATGTGCCTGCCTACTGCCTGTGACTGATTCCCAAAGTTAATATGGATATCCAAGCCAGGTTTTTACTTGTACCCATCATAAACATGTGCACCCAGATGGGTATGTGTAACTCAGTCCACAAATATTGCATCATCCACAATTTTTTCACACAGAAATAACAACTGCTTATTGGCATTAAAGCTAACAATCATTTTCATTACTGGTCTGCTTTCCTACTTTTCCCCCCATGGATTATCTGCCTTTGTTAACATATGGATTTAAAATTGCTTTGCAGATTAAGGGAGGAAAGCAAACTTTATTCCTGCAGCAGTACTGGCTGTTTCCAGTCAGTATTGAGTGCAAATCACACTGTAGGAGATACTACATTAATTATTCAATACAAGTTTGCCATATAATACAATCAAGCATTCACTGAGCTGTTGTGTCATTATCTGGAATTATTTCATGAAGTCATGGAAGTCAGATTTTCTACTCACATGAGCCCTCACAACTTCCATCACTGAAAATTGGATACCACCTCTTCAGTGACATGTATGAAGTAGCTGTAAAGTATTTGGAAAAAATTCCTGAATGTTTTGATGTCCTGATGTCCCAAACTAATCTGAAATTGTTAAAATCCACACAGACATTGAATTATCTGAGAATTAGGCAGTTGTCCACCTCAGATTCCACCAAGGAAGAAGCTGAGATGCAGAAGTAAGCTTCTATGTTGAATGATAAGACACCAAGTAGATTACATAATTTATGTGAAATCCCTGTGCTTTTTCTTTTTCTGTCTTTCATTGTTTGATGTTTTTTTTTGGTTTTTTTTGTGGGGGTAACTTGGTGTCTTGTGGCAGCTAAGGGCATCTCTACACTCATCATGATTTTGGTCTTTAATACAACTCATGCACACTCACAAATTGTTATCTTCAAAAGCACAGACAACTCCCAGCTGACAGAGCAGGGAAACTGATGACAAAGAGTGAAGAGAAGATGCCATATTGAATATCATGGATCTGTGGATTAATAATTGATAAGCCTTAGAAAATGCCAGTATTGTGCTGGAGTTGAACTGCTCTGCATGCAGGAGGTAATTTTATGAGCTCAGAAGACCACACAAGAAACATGCCAGGTCATTGCAGAGTGTTTCTGAATAAAGTTCATCATAGCTGTTGATGTTGGCCTTTCCCTTGTTTCATCTGCTGCTGCTCGTGGTGTTTGGTTTTTTCCCACGTTGACTCAGACCATAATGGGCCTCAGCAGAAAAATCACCTCTCACTCTGTTACACTGAGCAACCAGTCACCTACACTCAGAAGGACAGTGGGACAATGGGGCTACACTGGAGGCTGTGCAACATCACACTTTCTCCAGGACAGGCATGACAGCATAGCCAACTTCATTGATGGTGTGTACAAAGCTGCACAGACATTATATATCATAAAATAGCATGTCCCAAGCAGCAGGGAATCCTCTGACTCCTACAAGAGTCAACTCAACATCCCCAGGAGCATAGGGATTTCCCCAAAGTAAATGTGATTTCTCCAATGTGGGACCATGGTCCATGTGACTTAGCTGAAGACAGCACAGAACTACAAGTCTTGAGTACACTGCACAGTTCCATGTAGAAAAAACATTGCAAAATATAAGACATGATCTTTAGCCAAAACATTAGTAATCCAATTTCAGGATAGCCCAACCTCCTTCAAACATGCATATTACACCACTATAAGAAAAAACACTGGAAAATTGTGACACAAGACAGAGAAAGAGAGCCAGACCCAAAGTTTGTATTAACCACAGCATCACGTCATAGTGACCCCTAGGAGTCAAACAGCCACTGTGGAAAATCTTTGTAGTACCCTTTTTAATCAGTTTTGCAGTGCTTAGAATTTTTTCTCTTTTACCCCAGAAAATATATGTATACAGTCTGGATTTTTTTTCTTTTTTCCAAGGTGAAAACTTTTGCACTTTTTGTATCACTAGAACCAAAATGTGTGGATATTCTTTAGTATTTTTTGTTTCTTCAGAAGGCTTAACTTCCATGCAGCTTTTGTCACATTTAGTCCCAGAAAAAAGGCTAACAATGTAATCACTGCATTCTAAGTCGGGAATATTCTGGGCTAAAACTGCCCCAGGCAGCAAGTAAAAAAGTTATGCCATTCCCTACACTCTTTCTCCCCCAATTATTGTTTACCCCTATTGAAAGACCATATGCAGTGTAGTTTATAAAGTCCTAAACTACATGATCTAGATGTCCTTTGTACTCTACTCTCTCCCTTTTGAAATGTGGTGTAAGTTTAATTCTGTTTTGATTTGGTTTAGGGTTTCGTTTTTTTTTTTTTTGGT